AGATTTTGTGGACATAGATAATAATAATAAATATAATTAAAGACACGAAATACAAATAATAATAATAAATGTGTCACATTTCTAATGTAAATATTTATGTACCACCCTGATGTTACACATGACTTCGGAGTAATTTGTTACAGTTTACGTGAGATTTATTTTCCTGATGTTACCCAAGCTATAAAATGATTATTCTCAAAATGGGATACATTTGAGGATCATCAAGATAATTGCACAGTGTCAAAACTTTTTGAACACCCCATGTATTGAAATTAATAGCCACCATTGTAAATAATGCAAAAATAATAATTTATTTGGAGTTTTATGCTTACATTTCCATACTGAACTACTTTAGTGCTCCATGCTGCAACTCAACAAAGTTGTTGCAAAGGCAGTCACAACTAGGTGTTGCAATCATTTGTATATGATGTAAAGGTGGTTACAACCATCATCAAAGTTGCAGTCAGTATCCTTAAACTACCTTTAAATAAATAAATAATAAAGCCTAAATAAAAATATATTGTTATTAACAAATTAATTTACATGAATAAATATAGTAATGGTGATTCTGGATATACTTAATAATCAGATTTGCACCAACATGGTGTCAGCTGGCTTTCTGGATTTTTGTTTGCAATATCTTCATGCAAACAATACAACATAATGGTCTAAAAACCAATAAAAATTAAATTCTAGTCATAAATTTCTAATTTTAGTAAAAACATACTTTGAACAAATCAACAGATTATTAACAGATTATGAAAGAGCAAGTTTAATAGTATTTCTTTCAATTATTATAAACTGATTTATTTTTTGAAAATGTAACATAGATATAACAAGAAGTATCTTGTGAATTTGTTTGTAACATATAATGAATTAATCAGCAGACTATTCTGGAAACGAATCCCGATATGGAAATATCCCTGACTGAATTAGCTCTAATATTCATAGCAAAGCAAATGCTCAGTCTGTTGGGTCATTGTATAATAATGGATTAAATAGCAATGATAATGGTAGTAATGATAATATTAATAATGACAATAATGATAATAATAACAATAATATTTGTCAATCCACTCCATTGGTGGAATCAGAAAAAGTATTAAATCTAGATAAAATCTATCAGAAACCTTGGTTCCATCTGAGAGGTTGTTTTCCTCAGTGGAAATGTATTTACAAAAAGAAAATAAATAAATAAACTGAGCCAAAACAACATTCATAATATATTATTTTTGAGAGAAACTTGTAACTTTTTGATCAATAAGTTGGTTAATTATATGTAAAGTTTTATATCAAGTACAGTCAACCTCCATAAGTGCACCCCTTTGGAATGGACAAGAGCTGCATTTATGGAGGGATCCATTTACGGAAGGTAATAATCTTATTGGTTGCACGTGACCATTCAGGATATTGTAAAAAAAATTTTTATTTATTATTATATTATAAAAATTGATCCATTGTAGTTTGTTTCATTGAATTTATTTTTTTAAAATTAATATATCAATCAAGAGCATTAACTTGTTTTA